TGTGTGTGTGTGTGTGTGTGTGTGTGTGTATTTTTTTTGAGAGATAAACTTATAACTAAAGAAAAGAAGAAAGAGAAAGAGGGAGAGGGAGGTAATTACATAGGATAGGGCATTCTCTTACATACACATACACACGCACACGCGCGCGCGCGCGCGCGTGTGTGTGTGTGTGCGTGTGTATTTGCGTGCGTGCGTGCGTGCGTGCGTGCGTCTAATCCTAAATGCATTTAAAGATCTAGACTAGTAGAGTAATACGCGATTCCTGATGTGAAGTCAAGTGTAAGAGACGATTCGTAAATATTTGCTCTCTTAAATGCCTTTGATTCAAGGCGAGTTCGTTGTGTGTGTGTGTCTGTGTGTGTGTGTGTGTGTCTGTGTGTGTGTGTGCGTATGCGTGCGCGCGTGCGCGCGCGCGCGCGCGCGCGTGTGTGTGTGTGTGTGTGTGTGTGTGTGTGTGTGTGTGTGTGTGTGTGTGTGTGTGTGTGTAGGGGGGGAAGGCTTGTGCGTTATTTGATTTTATAATTTTGTATGGTTATTGACCATGAGTTATCGAGCTTCAATAAAAAATGTAATATAATTTTGCATTCAAAGGATAATTGCAAGTTTGCTGTATCGTTGTCTTAAAATTATCATTCGCAAGATTAAGTGTTAGAGTTCGATACGATTCCTCATCTACAATGAAAACGATACAAATAACGGTGCGATATTTAGAAACATAATTAAGAATATATAGTGAGCCTGTATACATAAAACTTTTTATACATAAAAAGTTGTCAATCATTCTGTTTTTGTCATTTTTTTATCATTATAGATTTATTAAATTGTTTCCATATTCTGTATTCTTTTATCGTCTACTCGTATATATTTACCAGTGGTACATGTTTTATAACGTAGAATTAAGAATTCTTAATAATTATTTACAATCTTTTACCAAGCGTTTTTACAATCCGATTTGAGCATGAAAACTGATAATGATGACGGTCATATAATGACTAAGATTACATTTTGCAGTCATGGCTGTTAAAAGATAAAAATTTCACGTGTTGTAGAAAGGATGTCGTATTGCCTTTTGAAAATACATGATAATAATAATTGTTCATTTGCGACAACAATGACACTGTATAAAAAAATAGTTTTTCAGAAAATATAAGTTTGAATATTTTAAATCATAAAAATTTTGTAATATTGATTTTAAAATACAATTTTAGTATAATAATAATTGATTATAGAAAGATAAATATATGTTCTTTTGTTCTTTTTTATGTTTTATCTTTTAATTTTTAATATTAATTAAGCTATGTGCTAATGTGTTCAAAATCTTGGGTAAAGATCGAATGGAATGATTGCACGGGAAAATAAGTGAACGGAGTGAAAGTGGCATCAAGGTTGCGAGCAGTCGTATGTACCTACGTACATACGTACGTACATACATACAATACATCGCGACGGTAATCGATGTTTAATCGAACAGAATTTGCGCGGCTTTGTTATTTCCATGTATAAAAATTGAAAGATCTCTCAATTAAAATATCTATCTTCTCTAAGTTTATTTGATGTTTCTCTTTTTGACTTTTACTTTTTGACTAAACTGTCGGTTAATGGCAAATCCTATGTAATTTTATTATATTAAAATTATTGTTATGAAATAGTCGACAATATAATTGAAGTTCTAATAAATGGAAACTCATTGCGTAAAATATTGAAAACGAAGAATTAATGTTCTTTTTCGAACTCTGTTATCTTTGGCTAGTCTTTCCTGATTCTTATCCTCTTTCGAGATTTTACCGTTGTTCAGTTGCCATTTTGTGAATATGTTTTTGCAAAGTTTTGCAGGAATTCTTACTGGGAGAACGTCAGTTTTTCTGAATCATATAATACAGCGCAAAATTTGATATATGTGGAATAAAATAATTCCATTTAAAAAAAATCAGAATTTAAAGATAAGGGGAAGTAGAAAATGCGGTGAATATAATGCATTTCTATAAAGGAACTTTGAAATTTTTGTTAAATATAAGATATAACTATTTTTTAATGTTTCTGTCCAAATTAATTTTCGTATCTAAATTATATTTAATTTCAAAGCAATAATTTAAATTTAATGGAATTATCTTTAGTATTTTAATGGATATGGTATATAATTTTTTGTTTATAACCGAACAACGATTGTTAGGCAATTTAACGAGCAATAATTATTATTTGGATTGATATTATTCGAGCTCTTGTGTAGTAAATAATGGTCGAGAGCTGAAAAGCAATGATAAATAATTCTTTATTTATACTTTTCTTATATCTTTTTAATTCTTTCGATGTGAACATATATTATAATATATGCCTTGAGAAAATAATTTTTTTAAAATAATTTTTTTAACTTTGAAACTAAAAAAACTTATAGGAAAAGACAAAAGAAGAAAAATATTTGTTATAATGCCCTTGTTAATTATTTTGTTAATTATGTTGATTTGTTAACTATTTTTCAAAATTTTTTTAAAAACTTCGACTATCGATATTAAAGAAGGTTTCCACACGATAACATTTTACATAAAAATTCGATATCCGAAATATCATATCAATTTTTTTTCAAAAAGCATTTTAAAGCTTAAAACGCCTATCCGTACAACACAGATTATCATTACCTTACAGCAATATCGCTGCAATATTGCTGCAACATGCAATATTGCTGCAATGTTGCTGCAACTTTTGTACTATAGGGATACTGTAAAGTACTTTTATATTAAATTTTGTCCGATGATATTTCATCAAATTGCAGCGCTTCAAAGTAAGACAAAAATATTGCAAAAAATATCAATTTTCAATTTTATAGAATTTAGAAACAAGATTTCGTTAATAAATTTTATGTAATTTTGAAAAATAATTCACAGATCTAAAAATTCACAAAGATAATGCAGTGCGAAATTTCGTGAAAAATTAAATAATTAAAGTGCAAACCATTTTTTTCCGTAAAGTAGTTTTTTAAGTATAAACGTTTTAAAGTGTTTGACTAATATAAGCGTTGATTAAAAAGTCATCTGTTCATGTGAAATATGTACAATGTTTTAGATATTAAACAAAACATTGCCGCTGTACACATTTTCACACGGATAGATAACTGTATGCAAAAATATCTGTTTCTTAGCTTTGATTTTTTTTGCTTCTTTCTTCAAAATTAAATAATTATATTATTTTTTCTAAATTAATCATACCGTGCGTGCTGATTAATTTTTAATTTTTCATTCAGATCATTCAGAATTGTCGCAAAAAATTCTCAAAAACAACGAAGAATACAATGGATAAAAAGTATCAATAAAAACAGTTATTATTAATGATTTTAGTCTCATGATGAGTTAAATATTTTCTGCAATGCGATCGTATTTTATGTCATGCAATATATGGATAAAACACAGATGAGAGAAATTCCATTCAAACGTAGCATGTTTTAATATCATCTTATTGTGTCCTAAAATTTTTGTATAAATGATTTACGAGTGCAGTAAACGATATGTTGCTTATTTGATAGTTCAAACATTATGATAACAATAAATGCAACAATTGTAAAATACTTTCTAACTGTAAAATACTTTCATTCTTCCCTCCTTCCCCCCCCCCCAACACCTCCCCATATCTATAAATGAGATGAAAGGAATCGGATGCGGCATATACATATATTATTTGATAATATTATTTGATTAACCTGAAATTTTAAATACCATAGAACAATATTAGAAAAAATTATCTTCATATAATAACTTTTAAAAGTAAAGACCACCTTAATATGAATATATATATGTAAAACTCGGTTAGTGTCCAAAAACTTGTTGATACACCGCTTGTGGATAAATAGATCGAACTAAATTAACAAGTTGAAACGTCCTCTATTATTATTTTTACAATTTTTATGATAATTAATGAGGTATTAATTTCTAAAGAAGTATTAAGTTCTAAAGAAGTGAAATGGATATAGTTGACGCATTGGATAACTTCAAGATATCTTTCAGAATTTTTTATATGAAATATAAAATGATATTTTTTGAAGAATGTTCTTAAAGATACATGTATACATGTTAAAGTATAAATCTTTTATACCTTGATTTTGGACATTCTGCTGATTAGATAGGTAATAAACTTTAGGTAGGTAATAAAGCAAATAATTGCCAAAATTGTAAAATGATAGAGAACTACTGAATCTATTCTGCAGTTTAATTCGCTGTGTACCTGTCCACAAGCAATGTGTCAAAAAGATTGGCGGATAACATCCTGTACATATACGTGCACTAAATTTATAAAAAGCTGATGAAGAGGTCTCGGCCATTTTATAATTACTTTTGTACTAGAACTCCGAAAACTTTTTGAGCAATATATTATGCAGAAATCCTTATATTAAATTGAGTTCAAATCGTAGACTACAATATCGACAAACAGTTATCGCGATATCTTGAGCTATTTGAGCGGTTTGGATTAATGTTAAAAAGTTGGCTATTAATTAATTAATTCGGCGGTATGCCGAATAATCTTTGTAAATAATGTTTCGTAAATAACGTCTGATTTGATTAATGAATGATTACGAATGATATATAATATACGCGAAATAATTGACGTTCACGCACATTTTAGCTTTAGTATAACGCTGCAGCAAAGTTGAGCAGAGAAAGAAAAGCCCGATATGACGAGTCGTTTGTGGAAAGCGTTGTCGCGACGGCGTATAGAGCTGGAGAATGAAAATACGAAGGGCGAACGATTGGCACGGGTCCTCGATTTATTTGATCTGACTGCACTCGGGGTGGGTGCGACTCTCGGCTTAGGCGTCTACGTCCTTGCTGGTAGCGTCGCTAAAGAGACGGCTGGACCTGCCGTTTCCATATCTTTCCTTATAGCTGCTATCGCGTCTGCTT